TGTGAGGGCAAAGTGAATTAACAGACATGGATTCGCTCTGGGAATTCTCAAGTGCTGTGTACTTGTGATGCATTTGACGTGGTGAGTGTTCATGCAGCATCAGTCCTCCCAAGAATTAGTATTGTGATCATTTTGTTTAAAGTTGGCACGTTTCATGGTCAGATCACAGGGCGTCGAGGGTCTCGGGTACCAGAGTGTAGCACTCGAGGCCCGTCCATCGAGGGTTGGGCACATGTCCGAGCAGGAGCCTCCCCCAGCGTGGAGGGCCACCCCGCCTGTGACGCAGGGTATTGTTTAAGAAGCGTGTAGATGCTACATCATCCAGGCGACTTAGGTTTTGTTCCTAGATGGGGTCCTGAAAGACACTGCCTCCGCTGAGAGCCGTGGGTCTGGTCAGTCATTACTGTGTGGGGAGCGCTGTGTCCCTCGGAAGGCCACAGAGGCCGAGACAGGCCCTCCTGCCTCTGGGCCCCGTTCTCGTCCACATGGGGTGTGCTGGTTGGAGGGCAGCAGACTGGTGGGTCCTGTGTGTCCCCATGTGCTGGGCAGACAGCGTCTGGCTCTTCTGCACATGTCAACACAGAGGTGGGGAGGATGTTTCAGAGCCGGATGGGTAGGGAGCCGGGCTGGGGGTCCCGGCCAGTGCCTGGTGTTTACGCCAGACTTAAGGGAAATGGGTTCTGGAAGCACAGGGACGGTCCTGGGCGTGGCTTTCTGAGACTCTAAATGTGAAGTAGCTCAGAGGTGCAGTTCTCAGGACGCTGATCCCGGGTCCTAACAAGGAACGCAGCGGGGTCCGTGTTGAAAGACCAGAGGTTTCTCGGAAATGAAAACTTAGACCCCAACGCTGACAAGAAGTGGTGTTGCGACCTGAAAGAAGGCGGTATGGAAAGGCCAGTCGTTGCTGACAACATCTGACCATGACTGAGAATCTTCTAAGTGTTGACATTGTCATATTATAACCTGATGACTCTATGAGGTGGATTCATTAACGCCCCATTTTACAGGTGAGGAAACTGAGGCAAAGAATGTCTGAAGGTCACAGAGCTGTTGGGCTCCTTGGCCTGAATCACCCCTGCAGGATCAAGTGGTCCTGTCCCCCCAGGGAAAATAAGAACAGCTGCTGAGGATGACAAATAGGGCTTTACCTTCTCCCGGGCAAGGTGGGGATGGTCCCTTGCTTAGGGCAGATGAGGGCTGAGAGCTGCTCCCCACCCAGCGAGGACAGAGCCAGTGTGGTTACGGGGGGTGATTTAGTGAAGAGTCTTAGGAGCTCACCCTAAATTAGTTCAGGTGTCATGGCCCACAGGAATATGTACCAGGGTACCCAGAAAACCTGTGGGTTTTGTCGCTGACCTACCATAGAAGTCGAAGAATGAGAGCCCAGCAAAGATACCCCCAGACAGCAGATGGGCAAGTTGCCTCCCTTTGATCCATGAGATGGAAAATTCTTCCAAAAATAAGCACATCTGTGCGATTAGTGGTACTGGGTGCCACGGCCCTGGAGTGGCTTCCAGATGGATGCCCTGGGAGAACTGAGGGGGATGAGCCGGCCAAGGTCCTCCACGAACAAGACACACAAATGGAAACTCACTGTCCACTAGTTTTAGATGGACTGGGGTTTTTTCCTAAATTGAGATATAATTCACATCACTGTCATTTTTAACAGGTTTACTAGACAAGACAGTCAGAGGAAGGATGTCATTTCAGGGGACATGAGTGTCAGTCAGCAAATCCCTGCCTTGCGCAGCGTCCTGCAAAGGCTCAGAGCATAAGAGGCAGAGGGACACTTAGAGGGACTTGTTAACATGCAGATCCTTATGACCCAAATTAATTCTTTACATTTTCTTTTCTTTCAGCTTTTCTTCCCTAAAAGTGTAATTTTTCTTCTTTCCTTCCATATGGTTATTTCCCTTTGCCTGCCTGCCTTCCTTTATGTGGCAGCTTGCTTTCTTTCAGGCGCCTTTATTGAGCACCTGCTCTGCACTGGCACTCTGCTGGTGTGTGTGTGCAGTGGTCAGCAGGGCCGCCCAGGCCCCTGCCCTCCTGGAGCACATGGCCAGGGCAGGAGGAGAGCAGGCAATCCAATGATGACCCTGCCACATCTCTGCAAGTGGGGGCAGCCAGAGGGGGACAGCAGCTCTTGGAGCCTAGAGCAGGGGTGTCTGTGTCGCCTAGGGTGGGGTTTCTAGTGGGGGCCCTGGGTCTCTCTCCTTCATCCTCAGTCCTGTTCGTGTTTAAATTGCTTACAGATGTGATGGGCACAGTAACCAAATTATTAGACAGAACGAAATGTGGGAAGGACATGCTGGCTGAGGGAATCAGTATCTGGAAAGAACTGGAGTGATTGGAATGGTGGACCTCAGTGAGATGAAAGGCGCTGAGGTTTGGAAAACCAACTGTGTGGACAGATGTTGGGCTGAGTTTGTGTATCAAAGCCTAAGGCGTTGAAGGGGCTTGGAGCCCAGCACGCCCTTGAGCCGTGGCTGCCCAGAACTATGCACACTGGACTGCATGAGCAGGGGCTGGAGTCAGAGGCAGGGGAGTGAGCTCCCTGTCCTTCTGGGCTCAGACCCACCTCCCCAGGAGCTCCATGGTCATCCTGGAGCCTACATGAGGTGAGGGGTCGGGGGACTCTAACAATTAGAAGCACATCTGGAGGGTCAGTCAGGGTTGAAAGGGGTCAGAGACCGTGTCTCCTAGAAGAATGTGGGTCTGCTGGCCTACAGAAGGGCAGCCTCGGGGATGGCCGTTTGCCCTCTGCAGATGGTAGCAAGGCTCGTCTGGGGCCCCAGGAGCAGTCTTCCTCTGTTTGTGGACAGACGGTGACCTGAACACCTGCAAAGCCGACCATATTCAGTGCCTGTTAGAAGTAGTGAGTTCTGTGTTCCAAGAGGCGTTTAAGGAGTCCATCAAACCAGCTCCTCATTTTCATTGTCTTACGGTTTTGTAAATATGCTTGCACCTGCGTTGTGCAAGATTCTTCAAGAGTCAGTGTATTCATTTCCCAGAGGGCCTTATTCGTTGGAGAATTTTAAACAAGGGAGGAAGATAGTGATTCATAAAGTGTGAAATGATACTGCTTGGTTGAGCATTGGCGTTTTATTATTTTATTATGATGTGTGTCCTCGATGCACTGCTGCCGTACTCTGAGTGCTGGGCGTGTCATCTGCAGGAACCACAGCCCAACTTGGCTGGGCTTCCCCAAGTGAGAGACAAGGAAATGGGCTGTGTATGCCCTAAGGGATTCTTGCTGCTGGTGTCCATCAGAATCACCTGACGGCCTGTTCAAACACAGGGTGTGGGGCCCACCCCAGATTTTGATTCAGCAGGTCTGGGGTGGGGCCAGTTGTTTGCAATTCCTAGGTGATGCTTATGGTCCAGGGACCACACTTCGAGAACCCTCTGCTCCAGGGCAAATTCTTGAGGACTTAACTGGAACACGCAAAAGATACCCCAGGACAGGAAATAGGCAAGTCACCCCCCTTTCAGAATTCTCATCAGAATTCCTGGGAATTCTGAAGATGCTCCAGCTGAAACTCCTCTGGGACTGTTGCCCTCGCAGGCCCTGAGCTGGGCCAGTGTGAGCGGGGAACTGTCTGTGGTTCCCGCATCCTCCTCCCTCTCCCGTGCTGGGGGGTGGAACACAGCCACACTTACAGGCTAGGTGAGTGGGTCACCTGATAGGAAATTCTAGACTCCGGAGAGGACATGTAAAATTGGTCATGCTCTCTTTGGTTTGAATCCCAGCTCGGCCAGCTCTACTCACCACCAAGGGACCACTAGCAAGCTTCTTATCTTGATTTCCACGGTTACCCCATCTCCAAGATGTGGGCATCAGTAGTGCCTGTTTCAAGGGTTGTTGTGGGATAAAATGGGGGAATGTGCACATAAAACAGCAGCACAGTCCTGGCCCATCTTGATTTCTCAATCAGCTGTGGTTATTTATATCAAAGTGCTTGTGGTCTCTACCTACGGGGTGCGGAAGGACTGACATAGAGGTGGTGGGGTTTATAGAATCTGTTCTTTCCGGGGAAGTTGTTTTTCATCCTGGCCCAGGGTGGACACGTTCTCTTCTAGAGCTTGCCACAGCAGGGAGACACTGATGGATGGTCAGGATAGCAGCAGAGAAAATTCTTTGCAAATTATTGACCCAGCGTCCAAAACCCAGTGGGAGACCACGGACCAGCGGCTTTTTGGAAGGCCCAGAGGATGCACAGGTCCAGTGAGGCCACCCTGGACCCCTCGACGCGGAGGCAGAGAGCTCACTTCTGCGATGAACAGAAAAGGGTCTCATGTTGGTATTCTGCAAGCAGTCAGCAATTTGAGTCAGAGGCTGTGGTTAATTTAAAAAAACAAAAAACGGCTTATGGCAGTCAGGAGAAAACTGATTGCCTCTGAAAATTCATGGCGAGTGTCAGCGTCGTCCACAGGCATGGAGAACAGTGCTGAAATTTAAAGTGTTGAAAAAATTTAAGCACAAAACCCCCAAAATCTAGCAGCTGTGCTGACAACAGGCCCCAGGGATTTGGGGTGGGGTTGACACATTGGCTCCTAACATTTCCTGTCTTTGCTGTCTCTCTCCTGCTTTGTTCTTGTTTGTTTCTGGGTGGCCAGAACTGTCAATGCCTTCCGACCAGTACGAGCTGCAGCTGCAGAACGACATCCGGGGCCCCGAGGGAGACCCGGGCCGGCCCGTGGCTGTCTTGGCCCAGGACACGTCGACCGTCACTGCAATGCAGCTGGGACAGAGCAACCTGGTCCTCGGCCACAGGAGTATCCTCTTCCCGGGCCAGCGTGCACACGCGCACATGTCCTGCACGCAGGAGATCTGCTGTTTGGAAGTCAATTCATTTTTCTCCCTGACAGTTGAGCTAGGCTAAAAATAGCCCTGTTTTCCCCAGAGGTCTGAAAATCAGAAAGAACGGAAGTAGCGACAGGGCTGCGTGGAGTCGCTCACTTCTGCGGGTGACTCACTGAGAGGCTCCCCGGGGTGGGAGGTGGCGGGAGCGGAGCTGTACCCTTCTCTTCCAGAATCTTCTGTGATGCTTGCGGCCTCGTCCAAGGGACCTGGCCGAGGCTGTTTCCACACTGGCATGTGGTTGTCCCTGTCCCAGACTCGTTCACGTGCCCTGTGTGGTGTCCAGTGTCCCTTGCAGAGATCCCCTGTGCTGTTGTGGGAAGCGCAGCGTGGCCCCTGATCCTGGAAGAGGGTTCTGCTCTGCTTGGCCTCAGGCGGGGACATTTTCACCCCTCTTCTGTCCGTGTGACGTCGTGACGATGATCCAGCCTTCCTAGCTGAGCTGGAGCCACCAGCTGCCTTACTTGCTGTCTTCTGTTTTGTTCCTTAATTAAGAATCCAGGTATCCGCATGCAGGGTGCGTCGAGGTTACCCAACAGCACCATCTACGTGGTCGAACCCGGGTACCTGGGTGAGTGCGGGCATCCTGGGTCCTCCTGGGTGCTGCTCGGTGGTGATTACAGGAGCTAAAAAAATAAAATACAAGCAACAGCTCCCCAGAAGGTGCTTCACTCTGGCCAGCACTGCCAGCCGGGAGGCCTGCGCACATCGGCACCTGCCCCCTTGCCGGGTGCTCCCCCGTCCTTCCCTGTGGGTGCACAGAACAAGCGGAGGGTGGAACGAGGGCAGGTGGGTGGCTGGCTCCGTAGCGAGAGGAACGGGAGGGGGCAGAGTCAGGGAGGGCTTTGTCTCCTGGTTTTTATACCAGGGCTCTGTCCAGACCTGACCGTGGCTGTGGCTGTCTGGAGGTTGGGGACCCAGAGGTCAGCTCAGTTAGGGGCCCCCAGTGGTCAGCTCAGTTACAGAGGGGCCCTGAGGTGAGGTGACAGGTGGCAGATGTCTTGGTCGGGAGGAAGGGGAGGCATTTGGCCCAGAGGTGGGGGAGGAATCCACAGCCTTGGAGGACCCCGAGGAGCACAGCCAGGGCCCGGGAGCTGCTGTAATAGATGACCCGGAGAGATGTCCGGAACACAGTGTCCCCGCAGATTACCGAGGCATCACTTCCTTTGATCTGAGCTAAATCATGTGTTGAGTGCACTGAAGTGGTTCAGGCAAGAGAGTATCTGACTGATGTGCAGCAAACCCCAGGGTCCCCTTGTTCGCTGCTACGTGGGACGGCAGCTTGCAGACACCAGGCAGGGAAACCCTGTGTGTCTCAGGAGCTGCATTCACTCAGAAATGTTTTCCTGGTACCTTCTGTCTGTCTGGCCTGTGCTGGGCACTGGAGTTCCAGGGGAAGGAAGATGAGGTCCTTGTGCTTGGTTTTGTGGGGAGGGACCAGTGAAAACAGGCGGTGATGGGACAGTGGGGAAGAGCTAGTAAATGTGATGCAGGAGCAAGGCTTGTGGGAGATGATATTTGAGGCAGATGTTTCTCAGAAGCTGGTCTTGTGGGAAGATCGTCCTGGCGGAGGGAACGGCTTGGGCAG